TGAAAATATTCCCCTAAGAATTGGGACACCACTACTATGCCGTCACACGTCGTCATACGTCGTCTAGCTCCTACAATACACACACATATACTGGTGTGCATTAGAGCCTTTAATTACCGTTCTATATTAATGCGCTGCTTACTGACACACACACACACACACACACACACACACACACACACACATATCGTAGATCGCACAGCTCACACATCCAGGAGAAAAGAAACTTGTCAACGCTGCCCCACGACTTTTATTAATAACAGTTTAAATACTGAATCGCTACATTTTCCAGCAACGAGAGGATAAAATTGCAGTTTTTTTAAAATTTTTTTAAAGTAAACTCACTCTAAAAAGAGAAACGCACAGACGCGCGTACACGCATCTTTCATCTCTCTCTCTCTCTCTCTCTCTCTCGAATTGGCAATATTTGAGAAAAGGGTTTAGCGATTTCTAATTATTGGGGGGAATAGCCCCCCTCAATGTCTGCGGTGGTTATCGCCCTGATCAGACTTGAAAATATGTTGTGGCACTATCGTGCAGTCTATAATGATATGATGTTAGTTAGCAAACTAACATTTGTTTTGAGTAACATGACCATAAATATGAACTCACGATTGAATGTAACATAAAACAAATGATTACTTTTCGTTAAAATCTTTATTAATGCCAAAAGTGCTTACATTTATGTGTCTTTTTGTTCGCTCGGGCAGCTATGTTGCCCCTGAAGCTGGTTTACGCTGAGATAATTCATACCCCTTTGTTTGAAGTGTGGTCCCGAAAAATCTTCATTTGAAGGGCTGTCTGGCCCTTCCCCTACCCCTCCAACCAAAAGAGAATTAAGACACCCCTACCCCTTCAGGGAAAAGGGGAAGGGCTAAGGGGTAGAATTGGGATTGGGCCTTTATGTGTAGGCCTATGTATACACAACTTGGTATTTCCGCGCTGTCTGTTGTGATCGCTTTGATTGTGTGTGAGCACAGCGTGTGAATAACGAATTGAGCTCTCCTTCGTTTCTTCTTCTTGTGGTTTAAAATTGCTTGTACGTGTAAATTGGCAAATTAATCTGCGAATCACGTGCGTGCCGAACGGTAGGGTCTCATCCGTATGTATTACGGATCAACTGCGATCCGTTTAACTCCTAATATGTGACAGATCAGAGCAATCTTTCATTTAATTATTTAACATGAAGTTGTCTAATTGCTGCTCCATATCAATCGCATACAAAGAAAATACAGCATAATTAGAACAATCATTAACATAAATACATAACAGAGTGTCATATCTATTCATATTTTTCCCAGAACGTTCTTGCGACCCGGTAGCAATTCTTCCACGGCCCGGTAGTGGGTCGCGACCCGGTGGTTGGGGACCTCTGATATACAGCATTAATTGCTGGAATTAACAGACCTTGAAATGGACAAATCTCTCCAATTAGACTAAAATGTCTTAAAACTTGAATTTGAACTTATGTCATCTCTAACTTGCAAGAAAAATTTTCTCCTCAGTAACGCTCACAAAGAGTGATTTTAAGCCCTGAAATATATATATATATATATATAAAAAAAGATGTATACTGACATTTGAAATTTAAATGAATGTTGTTTATTTTCATGACTTTGTATGAATTATTAATGAATTTTCATCAGCAACCACCTTTGAGAAAGTTTTTTATGACTTTTCCAGGTCTGGAAATCACAATTTTAAGATTGTTAAAACCCTAGGAATTAAAAAAAAATATAAGCACATAAATATTTGCATAAATACTTAATGTGTGTATATATATATATATATATATATATACACACTAATATTTACATTTTATATATATATATATATATATATATATATATACATATTTCAAACTTTAACTAACAACTAACTTTTGAAATTTAAATTAATAGTTTTATTAATTTTCATGACATTCCCCAAATTAATACTTAATGCATAAATATTTATTCTGAAATTCATAAAAATGTATACTGACTTTTGAAATTCAAAAGAATTGTAAAGTGTCATTAATTTTCAGGACATTCTCATGAATTATTAATGAATTCACGGACCTTTTTTCCACAGGCACTCACTTTTAAGAAAGGTTTTTGATTACATTTCCAGGTCTGGAAATCACAATTTTAAAATTACCATCTTTTTCATGACTGTGAAAACCCTAGTAATTAAAAAAATACACACATATTTGCATAAATATGTAAAACTTAAATAGAAATTACAATAACTTTTGAAATTTAATTGAATTATTAATGATTTTCCAAGATGTTTTTCACAAGCACCCACTTTTGAGAAGGCTTTTGATGGAAATCACAATTTTAAAATCATTTTTCATGACTGTGAAAACCCTAGTAATTAAAAATTGCATAAATACTGATTGTTTCCAAACAGGTTTTTGTGTCCCATAATTAACTGGAATTGAATATTTTATCCAACTTCACTAAAAAAGTTTTTTTATGGCTTTTCCAGGTCTGAAACTGTTTTTCATGACTAGTAACCCTAGTCAATTAAAAAAAAAAAAAAAAAAGCATATTTGAATAAATATTTAAAATCTTTAAGAATGTATACTGACTCGTGAAATTTAATTGAACTGTAAAATGTCTTCATGAAAAAAAAAAAAGGTTTCCAAACAGGTTTTCGTGTCCCATAATTAACTGGAATTTAGTATTTTATCATCCAACTTCATTAATAATTGCACAATTTTATGAAAGAAAATACAGCTTGAAATTTAAAAGAATCGGAAAGTATCCTCAATTTTCACAACTTTCTCATGAATTATAAATGAATAATTATTCTTACTAGGCATCCTGTAGAAGAATCGTTCTCCAGCTCCATCGTTGGTCTGCAGGAAGCGGCTGTCCACGGACCAGTCCAGGTGTGTTATGAAGCAGGTGGACTTGTTGCACTCTCCCACTTTCTTATAGCGTTGGGCCACAGCGTAGGTGTCCACAAACCCGTCGTTGGAGCCCACGGCCAAGTAAGAGCCATCGGGTGAGAACTTGAGCTCGTGAATGACCTCCTTCCTGTCCTTGATGTGGACCACCTCCGTCATGTCCCTTAGAAAACCAGACCAACTCTCAGTTTGTAAATAATGAAGCTGAAATGATGAAGTGTAGGGCATCCAAATTCAATTACCTGACACGAAGAACAGTGAAGGAGCCGTCCTTCATGCCGAGAGCCAGCTGGGAACCGTCGTTGTTGAAGGAAACGCTGCGAACGGCCTCTTCCATATTACAGCGAGCGATCAGCGTGTGTTCGGACAAACTCCACAGTCTGAACATGCATGTTTGATGAAACAGAAAATGTGTCCATATTGTACATTTATGCTAGGGCCGGGCGATATGGGCTAAAAATATTACAACAATATTTTTTCCCATATTATATGTGACCCTGGAGCACAAAACCAGTCTTAAGTGTCAAATTTTCTAAATTGAGATTTATACATCATCTGAAAGTTGAATAAATAAGCTTTCCATTGATGTATGGTTTGTTAGGATCGGACAATATTTGGTCGAGATACAACTATTTGAAAATCTAGAATCTGAGGGTGCAAAAAAATCTAAATATTGAGAAAATCATCTTTAAAAATCATCCCATAAATCCATTTTATTTTTTCCCCCAAAATTCTGTTTCCATTTTATTTATTTTTTAAGATGCTATGTTTTTTTAATTTAATGCAAATTTATAATTAAAAATAGTGTCTAATGAAATGAATTAATAAAACTTTAACAATTTAATCAATCTTTTCAAACGCAAAAATGAAAATATAAATAATTTACAACAAAACACTGAATACATTTTTTTTGTCAAATAAGATGCTGCGCAACAGAACTGTATACATTAAACAGATGAAAATATATATTGGTTGTTCCTGAAAAATAAAATTATTATTATTATTATTATTATTTTAGTATACAGTAGTAATTTATTTCCATCATAATTTCTCCAAGTTAAACCAAACTTTTATTTTAATGGTTTGTTGTGCATATATTTCAGTTTTAGTTTTAGTTTCAGTGTGTATTTGATGGCAGTTTTTCTCGAATGAACGGTAATCAAATTAAAATATAAGGTTACACTTTATTTTAAGGTGTCCTTGTTACAGTGTAACTAAACATTTAAGTACTGAGTAATATTAATTAACTACATGTACTAACTATACAGTTAGGGTTAGGATTTGGCTTAGGGTTACTTGCATGTAATTATGCATAATTAATTGTTATTATATTAGTAAGTACATGTAACATGTGTAACAAGGACACCTTAAAATAAAGTGTTAACAAATATAACAATAAATTTACAACAAAACATTGCATTTTTATTTTTTGTCAAACAAGATTATGCACAACAGGACTGTATAAATTAAAACATGGATGAAAAAATATGTTGGTTTTATGATATTTTTTAAAAATGAAAAAAAAAAAAGGATTATATTAAGAATAACATTTTAGCACAGAATAGTACTGTAGCTCTGCCAATTTATTTAAGTTAAACCAAACTTTTATTTTGGCGGTCTGTGGTGATGATCTTTGAGTTTCAGTGAGTATCTGACAGTAGTTTTTCTAAAAACGAAAATATATCAGTTATTTAAAATAAAGCATTTTATTTATATGTTTTCTCAAATAAGATGCTGCACAATAGAAATGTATCAATTAAAACATGGATGAAAAAATATTTTGGTTGTATGATATTACATTATTATTATTACTTTAAGAATGACATTTTATTATGTAATAGTATTATTATTTTTCTGTCCTAATTTCTTCATAAGTTCAACCAAACTTCTTTCGGTTTCAGTCTGAATTTGACCGTAGTTTTTCTCAAATGAAACAGTGTAAAGCTGGTGAAGTGACGCTCAGAGCAGCTCTGGAAATGAAGTTCATGCGTTCATGTCTCATATATTGAGACGCAGATGCTGAAAACACTGCGAGCATCATGTGTTTGAAATGTCTAGAGCTCATCATCTTTATCGACATACATTTTATCGCAATCGTTTATCGCCCAGTCCTAGTTTTTTTTGAAAAACCAAAACCTCATTTCATTTCCACCTGTCTTGCTCCATTTATAATGTCTACTGTGTGAACTGATGTGGCATGAACTGAAATCCAATAGAAGTGGAGGACTAACCGTACGGATCGATCGTCGCTGCCGGTGACGGCCAGCGGTTGTTTGGGATGCAGGTCGAGGGCCCAGAGCTCCCCCTCTGAATGACCCTGCATGATCAGCATCGGTTTATCTCGGTCTCTCACCATCACCTCAAAGATCTCACTGTCTTGAGTTCCTGCCAGGATCCTGTCAGCCCTCCAGCACACGCTGCGGATGGACAGACCTGGAGAGAAAGAGTGATTCAGATCGACAAGAAAGTAAGAGGATCCAAGCAGTAGGCCTGTCGCAATAATCAATATATCGACTTATCGCGCAATATATGTACGACCTCAATCATTTTTGGTGACGCAATATATAAAAAAAATTACTGTCACTGTGTTTTGTACATTCAACTTGCGCCTGTGTCTTTTGCAGCTTCTCGTATATAATGTGGTGTAGTCATGAGGTGCTAGATCAAATTTAAAAAAAATGCTTCTACAAAAAAAAAAGTTTCATCTGCAGATATGGCCTTGTTTAGGGATCTGTGCCTTTGTGCATACGGACATCTGACTGCTGAGTAGTGATTGTGTTTTTCAGCAATAGTGTGCACGCTTACTTTACAGAGAAAAGAAGGTCAGGGAAAAATCTGTAGATGGAAAAATGCATTTTCTTTGTGCATTTTTCTACTTGTTACTTTGCACTTTTTGTTAGAAATGGTTTATTTACTATTTATTCAGGTTCTGTAAGGTATCTGATATTTTGATAATTAATTTCCATGATCTAAATATTACTAAAAATTTAAAGTTTGTTGTCATTTGGAAGTGTGTAGGCCTTCTTGCATTATTATGCTCTTGCATTATGATCATATATTCAGTGGCATAAAATGGTCTTTAAAATGACAATATTATCGCTTAACGCTATTATTTCTGGGGCAATATATCACACAACAAAAAGTTGTTATCGTGACAGGTCTACCAAGCAGCCCAGACTAACATATCTGGTCACCAGCAAACATTATGTTTGGGATTTTGGCTCTAGCATGTCCCTTGGTCATGGTAGGTGCCATATTTCATTTTCAGGAACTTATATCATCTACTCTAACTAAGGTCCATGGGATGCTGGTGTCCAGGCATCTTAACTAGTTTAAAGTTACGTTTTGAAGATTATTACAAATGTGTCCCTCAGTGTGTAAAAACAATCAGAAGTTGTTGGAAACAAAATAACCTGACTGTATTTAATCTGGTTTTTGTGGGGTTTTATTTATTTATTTTAAATTGATTATTTAAAATTCTATGAATAATTTTCTATGAATGATCATTTGTTTTGTAATTTTTTATGTGTTTTAACTGATGCATTTTCTGCATCAAATCAATTATTAAATTACTAAACAGTGCTGCTATCGTTTCCTGAAATGATATTATAAAAAATGTAAATAAAGAAATAATTGAAGTAAAGCTGGAAATAAATAAAATGTAAATATGAAATAAACACAAATAAATAAAACCATATCTATTAAAAATGTTAACTGAAATTAAGCTGAAATTAAATAATATAAATATGAAATTAAATATACGAAAAAATATTAGATAAATACAAAATTAAATACGTTAATATAAATATTAGATGAAAAACAAACTATAATTATTACAATTATAAATTAGAACTGAAATACAATAATTTAAAGTACTACAAAGTCTAAAACTGAAATAGACATAAAATTAAGATAAATATAAAAAATATTAATGTAGGAGGTGTGATTTATATTAATGTATATATTACAGGGATGTTCATTTTGGTTATTTTTCCTAACCGACGCTCGTTAACCGATTGTTAACCGTTAACCAACAAGATTATTTTAAATTAGAATTGAATTAAATTAGAAAGGATAAGTGTCTGTGACACGTTAAAAAATACTAACATTTGTTTTCCGGGGATTCATTTTACATGCGCAAAAAGCTGCAAACAACAACATGAGGATTCACATGGCCTTCATATCACATCACGCACCTGCAGCGCTTCTGCGAGTGGAGAAAAACATAATAAAGCCTAGCTTTATTATGTTTTTCTCCACTCGCAGAAGCAAGTAAAAATGAATAAATAGGCCTATACGAGAAACATATTTTTACTTAAATAATAAATTAAGAAAATGAAAGAAAAACTGTGCAACAAGTAGCCTAGTATGCAGAGTTTCGGTTCATTTTTGTGCTGCACGAAAGGAAACCAGACGACAGAAAGCGGCATCCTATTTTTCTTTAGGCTTATTTTACAAAAGCACAAAGATTTGTTTTTATTGTGAATGTAGCTACACAAATAAAGGCAAACCTTTTAACAATTCCGATTATCTTTATGACTAAAAGGAGTATTTGCTTCCACTGTTAGAAGCCGCGCCGCATGCACGCACACAGTTAAGCATTGCTACCTTGACAATGCAGCCTGTTCATTATCATAATAAAATACAGTCAGTCAAACATACGGAAAAAAATTAATTATGTAGTAAAAAAAAATATATAGTAAAAAATATGTAGTAAACTCTGTGCCGTTAAGTGTTATCACCGCACCGCCGTGATGTTATGCAAAACATTTAGTTTTTCGTGGATATTGGAAAGCCAGTGAAGTGGGTTACATAATAAATAATAATTTTCCATTCAAATACATCGCGGATACGAAAACATTTGATTTTGTGTGTCGTGAGAGACCCAACTTTGGTTTCAGTTTCGTTTTAGCCTAAATGAATTCTGCTGTCGGCTTGTCGTTTATATTGCTATAGCTTCTTATATTTTTAATTCTTGTTCTTTTCTAAATACTGTTAATTGAAAGGATTTGTTGAGGAGTGAGGGGAACTAAAATAGCCTAGCTATGTTTACAGTGTTTATTATAATGTTTGTAAACATTTTGCGTCGGCATTAGGCCTATTTCTGAATGAAACAATAAAATGCGACTTATACGCGACTTATGTTTTTTTCTCCCTAAAAAAACTTTTTTTTTTATACGCATATACATGATTTTTTATAAGTCATTATAAATGACTTTTTAAACTGTTTAACTGATTGTATTAATCGGTCAAAATTCTTACGGTCGGTTAAACGGTTAAAATGAACATCCCTAATATATTATATACATGAAAATGAAATTATTCAAGATGCTAATAAACACAATAGTATATAAATAATACGGTTACTAATCAGAATTTTTTTTTTTTATCAATATTACATGGGACATAAAGAAAAATCCACATACAGGAATTAAACCAGTAATGCTGAACCAAAAGTTAATTTACTTAGAAAAATAGCATCACGTCTAAAAGACGACCTTAGAGCTTAAAAAATATATATATATATAGCATTGAACAATTAAAATGAACACCAAAAAATAGCTAAATTGATAATAAATTGAGAGTAAAAAAGAGAGTGAAAAAGCTTCACACTCATCAGTTGTCATAAGCTGGTGTTTCCAGCAGGGCAGAATTTAATTTGGCTCATTAACTGGCTGTAAAACCCCCAAAAATGAACCTTTAAAGCAGAAAAAAGTCAAAAACATGTTACTTGGAAGTCTAAATTGGACACACCAGCAAAATGTAAAATAAACAGACCCAGAGTCTTCATCCAATACGACTACAGAACTAAAAAATGAGTGAGCAGCTCAGATCATTTAATGAGAAATGTTTGAGTTCATATTGAGACTCTGAGCACAGTTTGAGACCCTGTTGAGAGCCAATTATCTGGCAGTCTTCTGCTGTGAAAGCGCTGACAGCTTCATTGCTACAAGACTTACATCTGCTGAAAACACTGTCACTCGTGTGATATAAGCGCAGGCCGTGTTGCCATGGTGACAAAATCCCTTATATACTGGGTTCCTGTACCATCATAAGGAGTCAAATGAATGATCTCATCCTGTTTAAAGACGGTCTGTTTTATTGATCCCATATTGTGTTTAAAATGGATGCAATGGATCGAGATCAATGCAATTTCCTTTTGAAAAATGGTCAATAATGGTTTTGGCATTGATGGGAACATAACAGCAGACATATAATTGTTTGATCAAAATTATTGCTAGGGACAATTTAGTAGTGGCTGGATATTGGTAGGGACATGTCACAGCGTCTACTAAACTCTACAGCCTTGCTTCTGGTACAGAACGAGTGTAAACTGATGTAATTCACAATTGCTGAATAATAAATTGTTACTTGACGTATAAATGTGAACGGTCATGTGTTAATGAAATAAAAGTGTTGTGTTGTAAATGTTCGAGTATGTCACATAGTACATTAAACTCTATTTCAAAAGGGCAAGAAAAATCCTGTTCCCTTTAAAGCCAGCTGTAATGTCCTACCTTTATAACCTTGTTCTGCCTCTCTGAGGTCAATCTTGGTAATGGGTTTGAAATCCACGTCCCACAGCCTCACACATCCATCCCGCCCACCGGTGGCGAATCCTTCCTCACATGAGTGCATGCTGAAGATCCCTGCCTGCATGAAGAAAGAGAGTTTACAAACGCATGTGCAACAGGTCACATATGTCACCACATGCTATACGCACTAATGTTATAGATGGGCAATGAGTCTGATTTCTTTATATAAAGTTTCTTTAAATTTATAAAGTATATACCTTGACCGCAATGCAAGTCGCTTTGGAAAAAAGCTTCTAATGCATGAATATAAAATGCAAAAGATATCAAATCTAAATTGTTTTATATTTCATAGGGAGTCATGACAGTGAAGTTGTTGAGCTGGAACAGCAGAGAGACACACTGAGAGACAGGAAGAGCTGCAGGGTTTTAATGGCACCGTAGGGAGTCTTCTGGTGTCTGTGGTTCTTCACTAAGCCGCTCTGTCATCTCTGCTGTGCCTTCAGACTCCCTCGACACTGAGTGTGTGTGTGTCAGCTCATGTATTGAAATGCTCCTCTGTACTGTAGCATAACACAATAACTTAATCATAACGCTCTTAATGGTTATTCATTCACATCACTGCGGTGTAGCATCTGTTGTTATGGAAACAGTCCTAGCACGTGTGGACCGGATGGGCCTGTTCTGTTTTTCACTTCATGCACGGGAGTCAGAATCTTTCTGGCATTATGAATGAAATGCTGGACTCTGCGGTTCTGATGTGATTAACTGTTGGTAATGAGGAACAGTGCGTTCTGTTCTTACCCTATCAGAATGTCCCGTGGCGGTGGCTAAGACACGCCCCTTTTTCCAGTCCCACACGCACACCGTGTTTTTGGCATCAAGTCCCACAGACGCTAAACGCTGAACGTTCAAAAACACAAGACAGGAGAAAATAAGTGGTTAGACGGGAGCATTTACAAACACAAATGAAGAAAATTCAGTTTTAATAATACTACTACTCAGGGTTATTATAGTTAACTAAAATTAAAACCATTAAAAAAAACTATATCATCACATGAAATAGACATTAACTGAAATAAAATAAAATACCAAAAAAAATTATTTCAGCTAGTTGCCAACATTTCTTATTTTAATTTAGTTCTGAAATAACAATTATAGACATATAAAAAAATAAAAAAAATAATAAAAATGACAAAAACACACAAGAAAATTAATAAAAATGTAATTAAAATAAAAATAAAAACTGATTTAAAACATTAATAAAACATATAATGGTATCTCAATGATACAAAAATAACAACTTACCAAATATTAGGGGTGTAACAAAATATTGTGTCAAAATATTATCGCAATACAAAACTGCAACAATATGTATCGTGAATAGTTCAACCAAAAATAAAAGTTTAGGTGTTTGTTCACATAAAAACAATGATCAACGCATCAAATATGGTAAACTCAGAAGCTCACACATTTGAGCTTCCATGATACTTAATTATGATTAATAAATTAAAAATAAATTATTTAATAATAAAAAAATTTTTTTAATGCATGTTGTCAGGGACAGAGAGCAAGCATGTTTCTAAAATAATTATATTTTTACTTAAGCAGAATCATGAATATTTCTATTGTGTATCTTATTTTTTTAACCATTTATCACATGATGTACAAAAAATAAATACCATTTTAACTCTATTTTGTTTAAAGTATCATGAGAGACATGTATCGTCAGATCAGTTTTGTGCATCAAACAAATTGTGTCATGAGTGTATTGTTACACCTCTAAAATAAAAAAAATGTGACGCTGGAGCACAAAACCAGTGTTAAGTCGCTGGGGTATATTTGTAGCAATAGCCAACAATACATCGTATGGGTCACAATTAGACTTTTTTTATGCTAAAAATCATTAGGACATTAAGTAAAGATCATGTTCCATGAAGATATTTTGTAAATTTCCTACCGTAAATATATCAAAACTTCATTTTTGATTAGTAATATGTAGTGCTGGGCAGTATACCGGTTCATACCGAATACTGGAGTTTATTTTTGTTATGATATGAATTTTTAAAATACCGTAATACCGGTGTATGTCGCTTAAGCAACGTTCGGAAAGCGACACTGTTTGAAAGAAGTCCCTTTTCACTGTTGCACTGTTGTGAGGGAACAGCTGTATGTGTTACTAAGCGTGAAAGTTCAGAAACTGAAGCTGTAGAACTAATAGAACGTGATGACACAGAAGAACTCATCCACAATATCCACACTGACCTCCACAAATATCCAGCGCCCGCTGCCATCAGCTCCCGCGTCTCTCACACACGAGCGCGACTTTAGCACTAGATTTAGCAACTTTCAGACCCTTTTAGCGGCTTTTTTCCTTAGAATATTCATACTGACAAACCTAGCGACTTTTTTGGATAAACCTTAGCTATGGTTCAGCTGGAGGATTTCTCCAGTGCTGTCCCGCGAACGCGAGGTCTGACTTTCCCGGAGAAGTGTCGCCTCTCTCAGCGTCTGTTCTGTGCAGTGAGCGGCAGAGAAGCAGTGCATTCAGTTGGCCGCACCGCAGGCGACTCGTCAATAAATGAGTACAAAACAGCGTTTCCTAGCACCTGTTGCTTACTGATTGTTTGGAATTATAAATATGAGCGTAGTTTGTCTGTTAATATCACATGCACTTTTTTTTTGTTTGTTACTCAGACGCAGGCAGTGCGCTGCATGATACAAAAAGTAATATAGCCAAAGCAACCGCATAGTGTAATCTTTAGTGTAGATGCATGTTGATTTTATCAGACGATGGCGTGATTATAAATGAGGGTGACTCCTGGTTAACATGTATTAAAAGGGGTCGTGTTTAGTCACTATTTAGTGTGGTATTTTTCTACAATATTCACTCATGACAGTAAAATAGGGCATTCTAAGTCTATATAATGCAGTATTTCCTCTCAATCAGTACAAAATATGGTTAACACCCGGTCATGCATGAAAAAAATAAAAAAATACCGTCATGTACCGTGAAACCGGTATAATTTTGAAAAATACCGTGATATAAATTTTTGGTCATACCGCCCAGCACTAGTAATATGCATTGCTAAGAACTTAATTTGGACAACTTTAAAGGCGATTTTCTCAATATTTTGACTTATTTGCACCTTCAGATTCCAGATTTTCAAATAGTTGTATCTCGGCCAAATATTGTCCTGTCCTAACAAACCATACATCAATGGAAAGCTTATTTATTCACCTGAAGTATAAATCTCAATTTAAAAAAATGTACCCTTATGACTGGTTTTGTGGTCCAGGGCCACAAATATATATATATATTCAAATGTTTACCGATTTTGATATATATACAAGCAATTTTTGTACCTCAACTTAAACTTATTTCATTTAGTTGCCAAGGCCACATATTATTAACAGTATCATTCTATATTAATAACAATATAATATACAACAATATAAAAAAAAAATTGTTTGTTTTTCATCTATTTGTTTTTGGTTTTAGTAATTTTAAGGCAACATTTTAAATTTTTATTTTATATTTTGATATAGTATTTTGATATTATATTTAGTTTTTCCATCCAATATTTATTTTACTTCATTTTATATTATTACCTACATTGATTTTTTATAGTTTTAGTTAACAATAACAACACTGCTAACAACACCCCTTTACCATGGTAAATTCACTGCCATGCATCGCCTCAGATAGTTGATTGCTTTACTAAATCTAATGCATGATAATGGTGTCATTACAGCAGATGCGGAGTGCAGCTCCACAGTGATTTGCTGTAAGCGAGCGAGTGACATTCACTCCAGTCCCATTAGAGCACTGATATTAGCACCTTCATCGCCTGCCATCAGGACCAGCAGGAGCAGCGGGCAGGAGTTTCCTCTCAAACGCAGATCAAAGGCAGATTAACCAGGGCTAAACACCCTTTAGCATATGTATGTGTGTGTGTGTGTGTGTGTGTGTGTGTGTGTGTGTGTGTGTGTGTGTGTGTGTGTGTGTGTGTGTGTGTGTGTGTGGGGATTCACCTGAAGTATAAATCTCAATTTAAAAAAATGTACCCTTATGACTGGTTTTGTGGTCCAGGGCCACAAATATATATATATATTCAAATGTTTACCGATTTTGATACAGTCATTATACAAAAATATTTGAGAATGCAGCCAATCAGAATGAAGTATTCCAGAGAGCCGTGCAGGAAGTCATTAAACTGACTGAGGAGTCATGTGACTCACCTGGCCATCAGCGTCGAAGGCCAGACAGGCCACACCGTGAGTGTGAACGTCTCTCAAGATGGACACGGTGGTCAGCGCGTACGAGTCCCACACGCAGATATACGGATCCTTCCCAACCTGACCTGTGGCCACCTGGGTCTTATCCGGATGCAGCGCTAGACTGAGAACAGAAGAGACACACACTGGTTCAGAGAGCTTGCAGAACGATCAAAGTCTCTCCATGTCCACTAGCATGAAACCCAAGCCAGCAGCTTTGCCGTGTGCCAATGCGGTTATGAGCTACAGATATGTGTGTGTGTGTGTGTGTTTGAGTTTGAGTGTGTGTGTGAGTTTGAGTGTGTGTGTGTGTGCGTGTATGTATGTATGTATGTGTGTGTTTGACTTTGAGTGTGCGTGCGTATGAGTTTGAGTGTGTGTGTGTGCGTGAGCTACAGATATGTGTGTGTGTGTGTGTGTTTGAGTTTGAGTGTGTGTGTGAGTTTGAGTGTGTGTGTGTGTGCGTGTATGTATGTATGTATGTGTGTGTTTGACTTTGAGTGTGCGTGCGTATGAGTTTGAGTGTGTGTGATTGTGTGTGTGCGTGTGCGTGTATGATTGTGTGTGTGTGTGTGTGTGTGTGCGTGTATGATTGTGTGTGTGTGTTTGAATGTGTGTGTGTGTGTGTGTGTTAGCACATACAGTATGTGCAAGTAACAACCCGCAGGAAGGAAAAATCACTAATGAGATTGCTTTAATATCTTAATTGTTTCTCCTAGACAGTAATGACATTAAATAAAGAGCAAATGTACATTGTTGCTTAAAGTCAAAATGAAATGAAAACTGACCCATTTACTTTATACACATTAATTCCAACAAAACCATCTTTTTACCAGCCAATCAATTATTTATACATAGAACATTTCTGGTTGTTTTAACTTTAAAATTAATCACATTAGGGATGTAAAATGGTTTGTCTTAAACCAGTGTTATTTTAGTATTATTTATACTATTATAGCATTTATTCATATTTTGAATTCGCTTTGTATTTTCATTTTCATGTTAACAATAGTCCAATAGTAGAGACATCTGTATCTACTAGTGTTATTTATATTACTATAATAGTACATTATATAAATAATATTATATTATTTATTCACAGTTTATCATATTTATTTATATTTTGAATTAGTTTTTATTTTTATATTTTCAGTTTTAATTTTAGTTTAAGTTTCAGTAGTTTATGTGCTTTTAAATTTAGATTTTTATTAGCTTTTTATATATAGCTATTGTTTTTTTTTCAGTTTTAGTTATAATTTTAATACCTCAATTTATTTCATTTAGTTGCAACATAACTTGTTTAAAAAACATTTGTTTTTGTTTCTTTATCTAATATTTATATTTCATTTTTTTTAAATGTTATATCAGTTTTCATTTAAATTTTAGTTTTCTGTTGTCATTTTCATATTTATATTTCTATATAGCTTTAATTTATTGTTATTGTTATTTTTATTTCAGTTTTAGTTTTAAAATGTAAAACTTTAATGCAAATTTGAGATAAAGTAAGTTTAAGTTTACATTTTTCATCTAGTATTTACATTTTTTTTAGCTTTATTTCAATTACCGAAAATGGTTTGTAATAGTTTTAATAGTGCTCAGATTTGCTCAAGATACCAAAGTCTGCGGTATCAAAGTCAGATCTCAATATAAACTCAATAATTTCTCATCAAATGATCTGTATGCATCTCATCCCACACCATTTATCGCACATGATAACCGCAAAACATCTAGCAAACACCTAGTGTACTCCGTGTGTGTGTGAGTGTGTGCATGAGTGTGTGTGTGTGTGTTCATAAAAACATCAGATATCGCAACAAAATCTAATCCTGAAGACTTTGGCATGACGTGAACGGAGCTGATACAGAGAGTCGGATGAATCCCGCAAAACACAAACATGATACAACAAAAAAATATTAGATTATATTTAGCAAATAATCCCTGTTTTGGTATTATTTGGAGGTGAAAATATCTACTTTTTGGGAAAAGTCTATTAATTGTATTTTTTTTTTTTTGCAATTGTTTCAATGAAAAATATTTTATACTCAAAAACATTTTTTAAATAGTAAATTTCACAAATAATTACAAAGAAACGAACGGGTTATTATAGATAACTAAAACTAACACCCTTTCTAAAAAAATGTTACTTGAAACAAAATAAACTTTAACTGAAATAAAATATTTAAAAACATTTTAGCTAGGAACATTTTATTTTATTTTATTTAGTTTAACTTGAGGTAATAAAATAATCAAAACAAAAAAAGAATAAAATAAAAAATTATAAAATCTATATAAACACACACACACATACAGTGGGTACGGAAAGTATTCAGACCCCCTTAAATTTTTCACTCTTTGTTATATTGCAGCCATTTGCTAAAATCATTCAAGTTAATTTTTTTTCCTCATTAATGTACACACAGCACCCCGTATTGACAGAAAAACACAGAATTGTTGACATTTTTGCAGATTTATTAAAAAAGAAAAACTGAAATATCACATGGTCCTAAGTATTCAGACCCTTTGCTCAGTATTTAGTAGAAGCACCCTTTTGATCTAATACAGCCATGAGTCTTTTTGGGAAAGATGCAACAAGTTTTTCACACCTGGATTTGGGGATCCTCTGCCATTCCTCCTTGCAGATCCTCTCCAGTTCTGTCAGGTTGGATGGTAAACGTTGGTGGACAGCCATTTTTAGGTCTCGCCAGAGATGCTCAATTGGGTTTAAGTCAGAGCTCTGGATGGGCCATTCAAGAACAGTCACAGAGTTGTTGTGAAGCCACTCCTTCATTATTTTAGCTGTGTGCTTAGGGTCATTGTCTTGTTGGAAGATAAACCTTCGGCCCAGTCTGAGGTCCTGAGCACTCTGGAGAAAGTTTTCGTCCAGGATATCCCTGTACTTGGCCGCATTCATCTGAATACTTTCCGTACCCACTGTATATATAAACAAAAACTACAAAAATTTTCAAAAACACACAACAATTACTAAAATTCACACAATTACTAAAACTTCAATTAAAATTAAAGCAAAATATAAAAATAAAAACTGATTCAGAATATTAATAAAAACTATAATAGTATCTCAATTATACTAAAATAACAATGGAAATGGCAAGTAACCCATTGAATTGAATGTGAAATGTTGAGGTAAAAAGACTAGTCTAGACTAGAATAGTATTTTCATGTAAAACATTCTACAATTCTTTTTTTTATTACTTTTTTCTTTTTTTAATTCCAATCATTTTTTATTTTCATTTAAACCTAGAAAAATCATGTTTTACAGTGTTGATGTTATTAAAATTACACATTGTAATCACTATGAATCATGAAAATTACAACAAATCGCAAAAATAAAATTTCAGGTGCATTACAAGAATTAGAATTTAGAGGGAAATGTTTGTAATTATCCTAAGAATAATATCACAATATAATGCATGCATTTCTTTATGCACAATATAATTGATTTATGCACAATATAATTGATTTGATTTTCCCGGACATGGTCTTGTGTGTTGGGGCGCCCGTGGGCGTTAACTCATGTTTGTGCCGGACCCCTGTGAGTCAGTGAACAGCTGAGGGATTCTGGGAAAGATCTGCAGTCAAATGAACACCAGTGACTGTAGGCCTACAGGGAGGAAGCAGAATAGGAAAATGAAGAGTGGATGACAAGCATGCCAGAAAGAGAGCGAGTATGTGTGTGTGTGTGTGTGTTCCTCCGCAGATGTGTTGAAGTCTTTGTGCAGTGAAGTGGGACGTCTTGCCGCTGTCGTGACAGAGCGTGTTTGGAAAAGCCTGAAATAATTCCAGCTGCCTGAGACCTGCAACCAGCCTGCAAGGTTTTTGATACAATGCTGGACTAAAAATACTAGTCTAATGCACTGAATTATTGAAAATTAAATGAATAGTTCACCCAAAAATTTCAGTTGAAAATGTACTCAGCCTCAGGCCATCCGAGATGTAGATGAGTTTGTTTCTTCATCAGATTTTGAGAAATGTTGCATTGCATCACTTGCTCAGCAATGGATGCTCAGCAGTGAATGGGTGCCGTCAGAATGAGAGTCCAAACAGCTGATTAAAAAAAAAAAAATCACAATAATCCACACCACTCCAGTCCATCAGTTAATGTCTTGTGAAGCCAAAAGCTGCATTTGTAAGAAATAAATCCATCATTAAGACGTTTTAATTTCAAATCATTGCTTCCGGCTAAAATATGAGTCATAATCCATAATAACGCTTCCTCCAGTGAAAAAGTCCATCTCCTGTTTTTCTCTCAGCCACATATTTGTTTAGAGCTGTTTTGGCTTGTAAGCAGTGATTGATCCGTGCAGATTTCTCTCCCGATTCAGACCAAACCACATTTTCACTGGAGGAAGCGTTATTATGGATTATGGATTTGTATTTTAGCAGAAAGCAGTGGTTTGAAGTTAAAACGTCTTAATTATGGATTTGTTTCTTACAAACATGCAGCTTTTGCTTTTTTGGACTCTCATTCTGACGGCACCCATTCACTGCAGAGCATCCACTGGTGAGCAAGTGATGCTACATTTCTCCAAACCTGATGAAGAAATACAACTGATTAAGTGTCTTCAAGCAGTCCATGTCACCGTTTGAGAATGTGGTGAGATGATAGAAAACTCAAAAGCCCAATTATTCAACAAAATGAATCAACACCTTAATTAGAGTCTAGAATACAACAATGTCGTAGTATGAATTAAACTCAATTCTAATCACAAGTTGCTTGTTCAAATTTCCATTTGCACTTGCTCAACAACAAAAAAACTGCTGTTTTTAAGCACAGAAAAAAAGCAGTGACTGAGCAGGGTCTGTTCATTAGAATAATGCAATTATGAATGCATCTCCAACGAGAGCTTTAATGAAACAAGTAGTCAGATTGTTTTAGTCCTAACGAGCTCTCAAAATCATGCATATCCAAAACCGTGACAGGACAGAAACAAGAAAAGCAAATAAACGTGTCCTCGGCTCTGTCACACAGGGGCGGATTGGCCATCTGGCGATTCTGGCAAATGCCAGAGGGGCCGGACCATTTTGTTTAATGTGGGCCGGTCAGATTTTTTCTAAATATATATATATATATAAATTAAATTGTTTTTACAGCCCAACAGCGCA